AAACCCCAAAACCCCAAAACCCCAAAACCCCTAGATGGTAATTTAAATTATGATTTGCATGTTATAATTGCAATTAAAGATTTAATAAGACTCCCAATTATAAATATTGTTATTATTTTTATCCTGAGAATAAATGTTTGCCTTTCATATTCGAATGTCATTAGGTTCTTTCATAAATCACTTTCATCATCAACATAGTTCAGTGAATGTTATGTATTTTCTAGAAGAGTCCCACTATGGTCTAGATTAGAGGTTTGCGTTTTATTCCTTTATTTATTATTGCTTTGCATTTCTAAAATGTTCTACTGAACAGTAGTGAGAGTTCTTTCATAGCTATAATTTGCTTAAAAGTCTATATTGCTATTATTATTGATACCCCCCATGTCAATTGAATCTCTCTATCCTCTCTAAGTTTCCAAGTAAGTTTGAAATTCCTCTATTTCTTCATCATTTTGCTTACATCTCTTGCAGAAAAAGTAAATGATCAAGGATATGATAACGAATGAAAAACAGCCTAGTAGAATGAAGACAATATCTGGGACTTTGACTGGTGGTCTTTCATTTGTGCAGACACCATTGCTGCAAAACCACTCACACTAGTAAGTCTCTTGGCAAGCTACACCTGTACACCTATTAGTGTCAGATCTTTCATCTCTTAAACATATTGCACTAATACTCAATATTTAATGCAGAATAATTATAAACTTTAGAATTAACATTATTAAATCAGTTTGGTCATCTTGATTTATAATTTTAATTTTACTAGTTTTTCAAAGGCTAATTGAAATGGAAAGTTCCAATCCTTTTTATGAGGAATGGAAAAAAACCGCTACTTATTCAAATGGTTTTCAAAGAGTAAGCTAATAAAAGTCTACTTTTTAACATGTTTTCGAATTAGAAATAAAGAGAAGAGGATTAGTATTAAAGGAATATGGAGAATTTCTTCGGATGTGGAGATACAGACTGGCAAAGAAGATTAGAAATGATAGAGGCTAGCAAACAGCCAGACCCAAAGACTTTAATTAAGAACTAATTTGTACTTGATAAAACTCATTCACAAACTCGTAAGCAACATAAATACAGCATTATTTTAATGATGTTTTTCTAGCTTAAAATAAGTATGAGAGTTCAGCTCACTTCTAAACATCCAACTAGTTCTATTAAAAATAAACCATGAAATCTTCTTAGAAACTTAGAGAAACAACCTCAACTTTCTAATCTACACTAGATCAAATTCAGTACTTAGCCATTAAGCTTTAATTATATTATTAGTCCAAGTGTGATTGAAGTATCTGCGAAGAGGGTTGCTCCGATCTGGAAAACAGCTTAGTACAATGATGAAGCTTTTAGAAGATAGTTGAATAACACTGTGCATCGCTAGATCTTTTAATATGATGCAGAGATTGCTTAAAAACTTAGAAGCGACAAGCACAATATTAGAGTCACCAATATTTCTGAGTACTCTAATGCTCTGAACAGAGGTAGCGTATTCATCAACCCTAAGTTCTCAAGTTGCTGAGCCGATTCACTTTCATAGCACTTATAGGAATAATTGAATGAATTGGAATTTCTAGAAATAATAGCTTTTTATTGTTAAAACTTAAAGAATATTCTATTCTCTTATTGTATTGATTGCTATAGTCATACCTCGGGGTTTTGGGGTTTTGGGGTTTTGGGGTTTTGGGG